GTGACTGTGCAGCTTGCCCAAGGCCACATAGGCTGGCTCTACTCCCAGGAAGCACAGCAAGGAATGGAACTCCCAACCTCTGACCCCACATTTCCTGTTTCAGAAATCAGTTTTGAGTATTGCATAAAGGAAGATAAAGAATTAACTGAATCAATTTGCAAGCTAATTATAGAAGCTTTTAAAGTTGTTCTTCTGCACATTCAGGTCTACTGCCAGGTATTTATTTTAAAACTAGCCAGAGGAGCAAAAAGTAGAAAGGGATGCTATAGAAAGAATAAAGGAATCCCCGCGGTGGTGGCAGCGGCGGCGGCGGCGGCGGCAGCCCGGAGCCCAGTGCGGCAGCATCAGCATCAGCCCCTGGACTGCAGCACCATGGACAGCTCAGGTGAGCCCGGGCTGCGGGAAACCGCTCTGCTTTCCTTGCCGGGAAGGGGAGGATGAGGATGAGGATGAGGATGATGGGAGGTCACGTTACGGCTCCACCTTCCTGCTCGGAAAATCCGACGGGCCCAGGCATGCCGTGGGGGTGGTGGGGGTGGTGCTGATGTTGGTACCGAGGGCTGTAGGTGATCCGAGGCATACTTTTAATTTCTAAGGAGAGGAAACCTGAGAAGGGCCCCTTGTTGCAAATTTAAAGAGCTGCTAAGAGCGGCAAATGAGGAAACAGATCCTAGCGGTGACTCTTTTTTTCTGTGAATTGAGGACGGTAAAAGGGGGGGGGGTTGAGGAGAGAGGCAGAGAGTAGGGAATATCTGCTGAGGCCGATGCATTGTTCTCAGATTGAGCCAACGTGGCAGAGGGGGAAAGATGGAAGAAAGACCACCCAGGTTTATGCTGCTGAAGAGCTTGAGTGTGATACACACCACGGAATGTGCATAACGTCAAGGAAGTCCTAGGAAGGTGTACTTTTGGAAAAAAAATTGGTCCATGGACAGTAAATGATGCTTATGACTAGGAGGCTGAGGAGCCTTAGGAAAGGAGCAATGGAGAACATGTGCAGTTGAGAAAACAGATCAAATAGAGAGAAATGGACCTTCTGACCACTGATGCTCTTTTTTAAATGAAAGCTGTCGAACAATGGGTCATTTAGTTCCACAAACGACTCTCTTTCTTGTTGTGGTCAAAAGAGTTCTTTTGTTAGCTCTGAAAACAGGCAGGCACCCCCTCCCATAGCTACTCTTTTTTCTCTTTCCAATGGATTGATGACCGCTAAAAAGTACAAAGACCTTAAGAAACATGTCCTTATTTGTATTAAATGAGTTAAGTATTCTTTTCTTGGAGCCCAAAAAAGAAATATATTCATATGTGGATTTGCATGTGGATGTGTTATTTTTTTACTGGGATGCCTCTTCTCTCCTCCAGCCTTGGGAGTTTCTATAGACTCACCCATTTGAATTATATGGCCATGTTGCATGAATGGGGCTTTTCCTTGGCTAAATCTCCCAACTGAAAAGCCAGATGGTTCATAGGATTGGTAATAAGAAGCTATTCACTTCAGGCTCTTGGTCAGATTGGCCTGGATTGCTGAGAGTAGTTATTGATGGATTATACATTTAAATTGTTGGGTGGGTGGGTCTGTTCCTTTAAAAGACATGGTTTTGCAGGGCTATCAGCACTAGCTGCATTTGCACTTAGCTGCATTTGCTAAGAATTTTATCCTACTTCACCTCTGATGTAGGCTTACTCCCCCATCCTGCATGAATATCTTTTTTAAAATATATGAACAGTTTCCTTAAAGCGATGTGCTGCCAGAATAAGGATGGTGGATTCTTGCATCAAGTGGAGCAGTTGAATCCTAAGGTGCCACTGTTGTTTTTGAGAGTTTGATAGTCTACAAGTATTCGGGTGTTTTTTTCTTTGATGTACTGTAAATGCTTTGAGAAAATAGGAGTTGTTTGCAGGAAATGGCAGATTTATGGCACATGTAGGGACTGATGATATTCTCGGCACTCTCCATTGCAAATCCACAGTATAACAGTATCAAAATTAATTGGTTCATTTAAAAAAAATTAAATGCTGAGTAGTGTTTTCAAACTGGGCAGGAAGAAAACATGCTGCTTTCAAAACTGTGCCAGTCATCCCCCCCCATAACGAAATGAGCAGACATCAAAGCATCATCACATAACTGCTGGATAGCTCAGTGGTTTAGGTATCTGACTGTGGAGCTGGAGGTTGGGAGTTTGATTCCTCACTGTGAATTGACAAGGGCTGGACTCAATGATCCATAGGGCCCCCTTCCTGCTCTGCAGTTCTCTTATTATTATATATAATCTATTGCCTCAACGTGGCTACAAATGGAAGGCAAAACTGTGTGTTACCTCGTGGCTTAAAGTGCTGTGTACCAGGATCTCGCATGCATTATGAAATAGCTACAGTCTAAAAGCATACTTTGTCTTTGTCTTGGAGAAGAATTGAGTTTTTCTCTTCTTACTTGTGGCTTCACAGGATTTATAGGTATTTTGGTTTGTTAGTGGTAACGCTTCTGTTTTCTTTTTAGGTACTGTTTCCTTCCTCTTTCATTGCCTTGGAAGGAAAGGTAAACTAAGCTAGGCCCATAGAGATTTGGGCAGGATTTCCCAACAGTAGGTATTGGATTGATTTGAGAAGACTAAGACAATGGGCTAAACCCAGTTTTTAGTCCCAACTAAAACAGGACCCATTGAATCTATGGGATTTACATAGGTGTTGATGAAACAAACCCCACCTATTAAATGGATTAATTTTATTTGGTACCTAGAATTGATTTAACACTTAATTTCTCTTCAAGGTCTTTTCTTAAAACAAAACAAAACAGCCTGGGTGTAGAGTTATCCCCTTTTATATGTCACAAATGAAAAAGGTTAACAAGCCTGTTTTACAAATGTCCATCTATTCTGCAGCTGTGCTCTTAAAATGGTTCTTAATGAAGAAATAGTGCATACTTGAATGCTTATGGATCCTGTGGCATGTTTCCATATAATGGTTCTATTGTTAATATGCATTACTGATTTTTTTTCCGCCATTGTTAAGCTTTCTTAGAACAAATAAAAAAAGAAAGGGATCAATAGCTTTTAGTCAATCTGCTATAGAGGCATGCAGCTTCAATTTAATAGGAAACATGGTAAAATAGGTTTAGAGGATTTAATGTGCCTCCTTACTGGGTCTTGTTCTGAAGCGGCAAGAAACCTTTCAGATGCCACAGACTGTACTACATGGTTCACTAGCAAACTTTTCCTAGAAAGAAGTGGTTGAGTTGGCTGATTCTTTGCCCATGAGCTGGTAGCAAAGAAGAAAAACAAAGAGGGAAAGTCTTAAGGGACTCAAGATTTACACATGAAATCCCAGAGGCTGGAACACATACTTTTTTAGACTTCAGCTTTCAGGATTGCTCAACTAACATGGCCAGAGACTATGCTGCTTTGACCATTCCAGGAGTTGTCCTCTATAAAGTAACTTTCAAAAGCTTTCTGAAACATGGTGTGTTGTGTTAGACATGACAGCCCTCAGGGTACAAGCTGAGCAGCTTAAATCCATTAACACTCTTAAGGAAGAAATAATTTCTATTCCATCTTTCCACTTCTTCCTGGGATTTTGTCCATGGATGCAAAACACTTCAGAAATCTATAGTTTCTGACTATGCAGAAGTAAATCCCACTGGATTCTCTAGGACTTACTCCCAGGTAGGTGAGTATAGAGCTGCCACCTACAGTTCTGTAAACAGGCATATATTTTAATTATAGAACATGTCTCTTTTTGTGGGGTTTAGAATCTGCAGATCTGTATACTCCAATTTCCTTTATATTCTACATTTCCTGTGATAATATACAGGTGGCATATGTGGATCTCTTCTTCCCTGCTTTCTCTTGCCAAAAACATTCCAGAGATTTAGTGAGTCAACACCTGCAGAAGTTCCATTGATTCAAATGGGCCTACTCTAACTGTAACTTAATTTAGCATAGAAAGTTGCAATTAGAGTAGGCCCATTTGAATCAGGACATATCAGAGTTAAACTGTGCTGATAGTAGATCAGTGATTCCTAACCTTGGGTTCCCAGATTTTCTTGGAATTAAATCTCCAAGAAATGTTCACAACTAGCTGTGCTGGCCAGGATTTCTGGGAGTTGTCCAAGAACATCTGAGCCTCCCAAGATGTTTATACTGGCATAGATGGTTGAGAAAAGGATGGGGAAAGGCAGAAAAGAGATGGCAGAATCAGCAATGCTGTGGCGTTAACTTTCACATATCTTAGAATGCCGCCTTTGCGTCAAATGCAGTCTGATTCCAAGGCTAGAAAAATGGCTATAATTGATGGAAAGCTCTACAGTGTTTGCTAGACAGAGGTGGTGAAAAGTAGTTCTAGCCACCATCACTGTTTAAAGATCGAGGGATAGCCATATGTCTAAGAGAACATCAAGAAGGCAAGCCAAACATAGATTGTTTTCTCCTCTGGCTCACAAGGCATGGTCTTAAATATTGGTTCAGTGCATATGCTGCCAGCTCCTTTAATTCTTTTCATAATGTTGCCCAAAGTCTTGCTTGTAAGTCCTTTTGCAAAGGGGCAGCTGTGTTAGCCTGTTGCAGCAACAATAGACAGATCTATGGCACCTTGTAACTCTCAAGCTGCCAAACATAGATTGTTTTCTCCTCTGGCTCACAAGGCATGGTCTTAAATATTGGTTCAGTGCATATGCTGCCAGCTCCTTTAATTCTTTTCATAATGTTGCCCAAAGTCTTGCTTGTAAGTCCTTTTGCAAAGGGGCAGCTGTGTTAGCCTGTTGCAGCAACAATAGACAGATCTATGGCACCTTGTAACTCTCAAGCTTATTTTAGCAGGGGCAGCTGTGTTAGCCTGTTGCAGCAAGAACAATAGACAGATCCATGGCACCTTGCAACTCTCGAGCATATTTTAGCACAAGCTGTTGTGGACTCTATTCCTCTTTATCAGGTACATTCTGGATTGTCATCTAGAATTCCAGGTACACATGTAATATGCATGCTGGAGGTGGGATTCTGGAGAGTCCACTTCTCAGTGTGCTTCACCCCAACCATGTCTAGGGTATATGTGTCTGCAATTCCAAGTATTTATGCACCCATCTAATGAAGGGGGATACATTTCATTGGTTTGGCCTTTAGATTTCAGAAGATTCTTTCTTTTCCTTTTCCTTTTCTTTCTTTCTTTTTGCTATAGATATTGACAACTTGTTGGTGTGCATGTAAGGATCTGTGGGATGGATTACCACATTGACAATAAAAGTGAATGGAACAGGCTTCTCTGAGTCAAGTAATATTATCTGTAGTCCTGCAGTTCTTTGCCTTAATAGTTTTTCAAATAGCTGATAAGAAAAAGATTAAGCAGCTCTGTCCAGTCATTGAACTTTACCCAACCCTGAAATCATTCATAGCTGAT